GGGAAAAGATCGATAAGAGAACTAAGAAGGAGGAGCTAATTACCATCAAAGGCAAACGGATCAATAACCAGTAGGAAACCAGATACTAAGAAATGTGTAACTTGGGACAAATGAACAGYGAACCAATGAACTTCTCTGSGTTTTGTCTGTATAAGTATGTGAAAAATCCCGTGAAGAATCGTGTGTGATGGAATGATTTTCTSTGCAATGTGTGGATGAGATTATTTCTGTTGCACATCCTGGCCAGAACAACATCCTGGCCAGAATAAAGTAATATCTTATTCTTTAACCCTAAAAACATTGTTGGAGAGTTTTTGTTTCTCCTGCAGTTTTGGTGGCATGAAGCTCCCACTCTCACTTGCAATACACTCTCAATCCCCCTTTCCCAGAACAGGGGATCAATAACGGTGTCGAAGCAGTAAAACGTGTCCGTGGCATGAGCATGGACAAAGAGGCAGCAAGCACCTTGCTCATGGTAACAACAGCTGCACATCAGGTAGCARTTTCCAGCAAAGGGATAAATGGCATCAGGGATCAGAGCAAGTAGTTGTGGAATTTCAACAGGCAGCTCACATGAACCATACCAACTGCTCCAATTTTCCATTATTATGACATATTATATTATTGTGATATATTATGCTTATCATTATTTGATAAGCTACAACATCTAAGCTACAAAATCATCATAAGCTACAAAATAGCATCTATGGTATATATATGCCTTGTAGTCAAATTATCAATACCCAGGCTCCCAAAAACACCTAAGTTTTTCCTCAAGGCAGGAAAGAAAAAAGTTTTATCATTTCTGTATCTCGCTATAGTCAGACTGTGTGAATAGAACTGAGGCAGTTAATTACATCATACAGAACATGCTGGAATTGCTTCATTTAAGGTTTTTGTCTGCCAGTTGCCTGTTCAGTAGGGTTGACATACATAGAAGCTGCKGGATTGCACATACCCATACTGCATCCTGGGGTTTGTGCAACAGAAATACAGGAGTTCTATTTAATTTCAAAAAATTAAAAAAGGAAAGTCRCAACAACTCTCTGATTTCTTCTGCTATACGGTACTATTCAATTCTACTTACTTGTTCAAAAATAACATTCCCCTAGGCTTAACATCACAGACTGTCATTCTAAATAACTTATTTTGTGAAAGCTTCTTTTGATTTCTCCCATATTCTGCCTGCATTTTGTCAGCTTGGCAAGCTATTTAACCAAGGGGGGGAAATGTTTCCTTTCATAGACCAAATTACATGCCAAGTAATACTCAGCTAATGTATCAAGTGTTTTCCATTACAAAATTACATTTCATTAAGGTATTTTGTCTTAAGATAGTAAGAAAGAAAATACTGTTGCGATTCTATAGATGAAGAGGTGAAAGTCCTCCTTACAGAAACAGTACAAACACTGAAGAAAGTTCAGACGGTCAAATTTACCTATTTCACTGCAGAAACCAGTTTCCCAGGTGACAACTGAGACCATTGAAAGTATCAGTGCCAGAGTCAGCCCTCCATTCTCTCTTGGATAACAAGTACCATTACCTGGCAATGCTTATGTCTGCCAGCATGARCACAGGGTACCTCTGTGCTATATTTCATACTCAATTGTATCAGAGTCCCTGTAATAAAATCATAAGTTCAGGAAACTTCTCATAAGCACCAAGTGTAACATGGTATGTATTACCCAACTGAAACATACACTCAGACAAAATCAGACGACAATTCCTGACTATGCTGAAAATTCATTATTCAGGTTTGCCGGCTACTGTCAATATAGCTCAGCACACAACAGTGAGATAGCWCAACTTACAGCAGCAGATAAAAGGAGTAAGGTGGAAGAGGACATATAGTATTGGAGCAACCCCATGCCTCGCTTATACTTCTGAGTACAAACTGGTGGAGCACAAAGCAGAAACTCTCCAAAGCCAGTTGACTGATCACCTCCCCCTTGCTAGGCAAAGGCAGTTATTGCCTTGTGCCCATCTAATAAACCCAGGACAAACAATAACGTACTGTAATACTTCTAAATCCACAATTCTAAGTTCACTTTGTGTTGTGAATTTGTTTGGTTTTATGTGTTTCCTGGCTTGGGTTTTTTTGTGGTGGTGGTGGTTAGATTTTTTTTTTTTTTTTCTCAATAGTATTGAGGGTTCCACTCACTACTTGGAATAGCATCATTTAAAACTGATTGCACCTACAACACCCAGACTGAGAAAGAGGATATGCATTTCCTCTCTGACTGAAAACCATGACCCTCTTCTCTGAAAGCATGTACCCATGGACAGTTGGATGCAGTGAACAGTTAAGAATCCTCTCTAACTTCAGTTTGAAGACACTGTAGTGAAGAGAGTTCTCAGTAACTTYGAAGAGAAATAATAGCATTATGCTTTAGTGCAGGTATGTCTCAGGGAGGCTCATCACAGAACAGCTACTTTCCATTAAGGGAGTCATCAGAACTGCACAGCCATGATGCTGTGAAGTTGGAAGCTAAACAAACCATTCAAAAACCTTGGTAAAAGTATCTGTGGGAAAATGTTCGGAGGACACCCTCAACCTTCACAAAATTGGTGAGCTTACAGCAAATCCAGCAAACAATTTGTTAATGTAGCTACTTAAATGAAAGCAGCCAGTCCTAAAGTTTGCTTGTGCTTGATGTAGGCATGCCAACATTTACCACCCTGTGCTCCTGACTCAAATAATTTTCAGTATGTGACTGTTCCTTGCTCAAGTGCCACAGCTTCTTTTTATGAATCCTATTAAATATGACAATGTACAACACTATGAGTATGTTTCAATTAGGAAGGGGGAGCAGATAACTTTGTAGGGCTCTCTGAAGAGCCAACAACTGTGCTCATCTCACAGCTTCGGGATTCTTTAGAAGCATTAGAGAGCCCTGGAAATAAAATGACAATACTTGTTATGCTGGCCTTATTTCATAATCAGYGAGGTTTTCTTATGCCCTAATGTGGCCTTTCCAGCAGTGACCCCATACTCCCTCTCTGGGACAGTGTAAAAAGGAACTGTGCACCACCCGTTATGTACCTTACCGGTAAACAGAGTTAGTGTTCCCGTGAGAGCCAGAAGCAAAGCTACAAGGAGGTGCATGCAAGGAAGGGAGCACAAAGGCAAAAGTGCATGGCCATTTCAGCCATGACACTGTTTGCTTTCTCCTCCTAACCCTCAGGATGCAACAAATATCCCATGGGATTTTCAAAAGACAAAGACTATTTTAGACTGTRATTTACAGAATTCCAGCTTATAATACAATATCTGGTTTGCCACTGACAAAGCTCTAATGCATACATGTCACTTGGTGCAGATCAGCAGCACACTGAAATATCCCAAGGTTAGAACAGGATATCAGTACAGCACCTCCCTTTAGAAAATCCACGTTATTTTACTGGGCTAGCTCTTCAAGAGTCGGGGACCATCTAGACTTGTACATCAGCAGCATGTGTGAGAGGAAACAAAACAAGTAAAAGGTATTGTGTAGCACCAGACTACAGGTATAGCTTCTGCCTATTCAAAAAACCACCAGCACATTTCAAACTGAGCAAAAGCACTCTACTAGCACCTCCTTCAGAATACTTTGGAAACTTCAAAATATTTAATCTATATTTTGGCTCTGAAATCCATAAGTTTTGTGTTATTTTGCAGTAGAGTTCTTTAGTGTAGCAGTTAGAAATTAGTCTCTCAATATTAGCTATCAGGATTAAGGCATACAGGGAGAGGAGACAGAAGACAAATCTTCCATTTGAACTCTCATTAATTACATTCAGCATGGCTTACCTTGCATTCCACCCTGAATCCTGAATCACAGAACCCAGAGATAACTTATAAGGAATTCCCCATCAAAAGCCTGACTATTCTTTGAGCCATCAGCCTTCCTCTTTAAAACAGCACTCAAACAGATCCATTTTATCKGGAAATAACTTTTGTTCATAAGGCTCTTTTTTCCAACCTTCAAATGTCATTTTTAAAATTTATCTACATCACTACTCAAGTATTAAAGAATTACTATGATCATAAATCTTTTGAATCTAGATGATAGTAGCAGACTTTCTCTTACTTAGCTGTAAACATCCACCAGACAGTTATCTAAACCCAARTTAGCTTTGTGTGCTCTATTCTGCATCTGTAATAATACAAAAAGTTCCTACTGAAAGAGATTCATCAGTTGTCTTCAGACATCATGAATGCTCTGAGCATGTCAGCTTCAAATCTTATACCAAAAGCACGTTTAGAAGAACAGCTTAAACTGGAACAGGTAATCATCAGATACCTAAAGTGGGGAGGGAGGGGCAAATACTCTACCCTTGTTTACAGTGCTGTCCTTATGATTCTACTGGATTAACTCATTTAAATTCCTTTAGTCTCCCAATAATAGTTTTATTCTGTCTCTCAAAAAAAAAAAAAAAAAAAAAAANAAAAAAAAAAAGAAAAAAGTATTTTAGCTCTTTTCTGAAGCTCTGTGCTTCAGAACAAAGATAACAAAGTTATCTGTTTCTATGTCTCAGAAATAGTCTTGGGTTTTTGGCAGAGGAACATGCTGGACACCAATGCACCTGCGACATGATGGATGTTCTTGTCAATAGGGCTCTAACATACAATCAGAATTTTGACACCTGTTGCAYCCAAACTCACTGAAACCAGTGACAATAAAGCATTCCCACATAGCTGGTAATGGCTCAGGTTACTAAGAATTAAGATTCAATACCACTGGTCATCRATACAGTTCAATTCCTTAGATCTTACCCAAAAGAGCTGTCAGATTTCTAGACTAAAAAAATTGTACAGAGTGGGGCCACAGTTTTACATGAATCTATCAGAATGTGTTGTAAAAGGSCTCTGGTGTATGAGAAAACTTAGTCTTGGTACTGTGGCTTCCTGGTTTCCAGCAACTAATTTCCAAAAGGATAGTGCTCATTCATACCTTACCATTTATGGTTACAAAAAGCTTTGTAATAGGGCAACTAAGTTAGGAATTCAGCCACAGCAAAGCAAAGCAAACCCAAAGAAGTGCAGGAAAGGAAAAAAAAAATCCCTTTCAGCTCTCAGCTCCACTACTAGCCCACATCTGTCATGTAACAGAYTTTATTTTCATCCAAGAAAGCAGCGTTGAATCAAAAACTGTGAGTATATTTCTGAACAACTGCTTTTCCTTGGGGTCATGTAATAGCTTTGTGTTTTTTAAAGTACACTGTTTTGGGAAGCAAAAGGCTTTTTATATCTGTAGCTCTATGGAGAACAGCGCAGATAACTTTTCTGTAGTAGTATGCAGACTGAGTTCTCTCTTTTTTAACTGSATGCAATCTGATCATTCTTCACAACTGTTGCAAAGGTAACAATAATATATTCACAAATTAAGAGTCTGTAGCTCTCGTAAGACCATAGCTCTTATTCATTTTAATGGTAAATACACCTTTGCTCTTAGAAATGTCATGGCTTTGGGTGTTCAGCATTACTTTAGAGCTGACCTGCCCCTAATTTAGAGAGGAACCAAGCATGTGAACTCTTGAAGGCTTCCCAGAAATCTGCTCTTAAACTGATTCCTTCTATGCAGCCCTGGACAGCACAGAATCAAAGGAAAAAGTACTCCAGAAAGATTTCAGAAAAGCTGAACTGAGGAAGCAACTTCTGTCCTTTTTCCCTCCATTTTTTTTTCTTTTTTTTTAAAAAAAAAACATTATGTTTAAAAGCTAACAGAATTAGTCTTAACTGCATACTGCTTTTAGACAAAAAATGTGACTTCCTTAATTCACTCTAGTGGCACATCAGTTCAGTACTAAAGCAAAATTATACAGTGTATTTTATAAAATAAACACAGTTGTACAGTCAAAATATTGCTGTTTCAGATTTTGAAGACAACTGCATGAGAAGTTTTTCTGTGCACCATTCCATCAAGGTTTAGCATCACCRTATTTTGTAACATACAATTTTTGTGGCCCCAGGCTTACTGAAAGCTTATTAAATAATAAAGAAGACTGATGTTCCCTGGCCACAGCACTTCCCCAGTACAAGCAGAAAATGCCTGTAACTGCTAGAGGATGAAACAGAGGGTGGGGAAAGGGAAAGAAAGCRCCAACACAAATGTAGTTTTGACTACAGCCTGTTTTAAGTAGTGGGGCAGCAGATGAGGAAATGATGAGCATAGGCTTGAAACAGAAAGGAAGAATCAGTGTTGAAATACCCATGGAAACACAGTTAAGCAAGTGCAAATGATCAAAAGAACGCTATCCAGAGACAGTAGTACGTAAATATGAGCTCTGTTCCAGTAAGATAACCAGTACAGAGCTCATATTTATAGATTTTAAACTGTTGCCTACTGCTTCCCACAAAAAGTATTTGGCCAATCAACTGTCACCAAATACTATGCTCCTCTTACRAATCCAGCAAAGCTGGCAGTTTTTATTTTGTGAATATAAGGTGTTTTGAGAATAAAACAAGGTCACTTAAGCTGGCACTTGACAGAAGAAAATAAATTATTATTTTGCCTGTAGAAGCAGTAGAGCCCAAAGGGTACAGGCCTGTTTAAAAAGTCCTCATCACTTTAGAGATGTGGATGACTTGCATCACTCTTCTTGGTATGATGCTGTATTAAAACATTATGTTTATCTGAAAGCAATACATAAATGTTCACTGAAGATTCACCATTTAGTGTGGTGAATCAGCTCAAAGGAAAAACAAACCAAAAAAAMCCACAACACTACATCATGGTTAATATTTATTCCCAACTTAAATTCAAGAAAGGGATTTAGCAGCCTTTCTTCTGCAAGTGAGATTAATTCGTCAGTGCTACTCATACTTTTACCCAAATTAAGAGCAGTCTGGAACAGCTTGAGAGAGAGGTCCCACATGAACTCAGAGAGATCACACCACTGGAAACTCCTCAGAAGATGGGAGAGGAGGAGGTAGAGACTTCCCACCAAGGATCAAACATCCTCTAATCAAAACAGGACTATTCCAAATCCAAGCGGATGGCATCCCTAAGATCACTAGCAGCTATGAATGCAGTTATTATACATTGAAATTGCACAGCTAATGTACTGTATAATTTAACTGAATTGAAGAAGATTAGGCAGAGGGAACATGATGAAAACATTTGCAGGTTATACTTTCCTAGTAAGTATGGAAACACCACACAAAATCTGCAGTACAAAAAYACATTTAAATTTTCTCTTGAAGGCTGGACTAAGCCCTGCTTTGTACATGTCAACATCTGCCAATCCAATTTTTCTCAGACTACCTGAGCCAGCCAAGTTTTCTGCAGTGCTTCATTTTAAAAGATTTAATGGTTTTGTCAGAAGAAACACTAAATATCAGCTATTTCAACACTCTTGCTAATACAGATAGACAGGGCAAGGAGACAGAAGGTTTTTTTTAATCTGAAAAAACTAACCTTTAAAACAATGAACAAATCCCAAGTAAATACATTTTTCTATACGGATGCAACATTGCTTTGTCTTGAGAGCCAGAAAATGAAGGATTTTCGGCAGAAGTACATAGGAATGCACATGGGTTTCCTTTCTGGTCCTGTGTTTCCTCTTAAATTATTCTGCATTAAACAGTGTTACAGATTTTTCTGGTCTTCTACATTTGAAAGCAGAAAAAAATGCACCAGAAAATGTGTAGCTCAGTTTTAGGGACCACATTTAAAGCTAATTTGCTACATCAACACAATAATGATGTAAGCACCCCTGATTTACACTGCCCGAAGACCTAGCTGGTTATTTTTTATGTCTATACAAGCACTCATATTTAAAGATGAACCTTTCTTGTTAGCATTCCTTGCATAATTTATATGTCCTYATTCTCTTTGGGGTGGAGCAGTTATCTGAACTGGGGGAGCAAAGGTAAACAGCATCATTAGCAACCCATGCAGAGAGCCAGGGTCAGGCAGTCTGCATTGGTGTGAGGATGAGAATCAACATTAACCTCTGGAAACTGAGAAAAATTTCCAATTTACATACCCAGGTTCCTTTYGTGTCTTAAAGAGATGATCTGGTAGTTTTAGATTATTAGAAGGAAGAGTTCAGTGGTACTTCCGCAGAGTGTCTGGCTRGCATTCAAGAAGACTTTTGGGACAAATATATTTCTTATAAATTCTTTGGTTAATAGTCCAACTGGTCTGAAATTTTCCGTGTAACAAGGGGGCTGATTACCCCACTGTTTCTCAGTGTAAATGGGATATCTCTGTAAATGTTATGGTTCATCAAAATTCAAWATGTTAACAGCTCTAGGCCACTAGACGTTTTACGCAAGTCATAGTGTGAGTACCAGTCTTTCATTTTTTCAGTATCTCACAGAAAATTAAAGATTGATCATTGTTACTATATGTAAGAATTTCATGCTAATAACACAGGTTTTCACTCATCTTTCATTAGCTCCCCACTGTGCTATAAGGATCTGCTACTTCAGTACCATGTGGTCTCAGGGCCTGTGCTCAAGGACCAATGTTCCTTTACTCCACTTTCCCCTCTGACCAAGCTGCACAATAGGTAAAGGACASCTAGATTAATAACAACAGATACTAAGGTACTGTGTTGCACAGTGTTCAAATATTTTAAGTATTTTGGAATACTTTAGGTTTTTTAAGTGTTATTTGCCATTTTCCAAACTAAAAGAAATGAGAGAAGGTTCCAAGGAGCACTCACTGACACCTACTAAGTAAGCTTCCTCGCTGCACRCGCCTCTCCATATGGCTATACGTGAGTATGCAGGCACAGGACAAGCATGTCGGGAGCATTTGATACCACATGTTCTATCAATAGCCCCACTGACCAAGCAAAACACAATACAGTCTTACTCAAGGGCATTAGCTCACATTCTGTATTAAATTCAAATGGCAGTAAACAGGGAAAGTTCATCTATGGCAATTTTCAAATTGAGAAGCTTCTTACAAAGTCAATGAATTATACATGATCATCAGAAATACAACTCCTCTCAAAATGCTGTATGGAAAATTCACAGTGGACGTGGATGTTTTATTTAAAATGAAATTAAATACAAAAGTGGACAAAATTCAGCATTCTAAAAATAACTCTTAGTTTCTAGGGACACCTAAAACCAKCCTTCCACTTTGATGATATCATGTACTATGGACTTCAAAATATATGCTTAAAATCTGCAAATAACTCCAACTTATGCTAAATGACAAAAGTTGTTCTAGTGTCCACAGACATCTCTATTTTTACTTCTAACAGAATTAACATTCAGTTGTTACAGCAGTCTAAAAACAGAAGCATGTTAATTTTCAAATACCCTTTTCCTTTGATCATTAAACAGTCAAAGTGAGGCATTTTTACCAGTGGAAATGGGAACTAGCACRGAAGGAAGAAACATTCAGAATACATTTCTATTCATTCCTTTAAGAGTTGTTGCTCAAAACTTTGAAGGTTATCTCATCTTTCACCAAATTAAGCATGGTCCCATACTTGTRGTCACACCACAGCTCTCCCAGCCTGTAGCAAGTGGAAACCATCTGCCCACAGACAACCCAAAGAGCCTATTTGATAACTTTGGTTTGTGCATATCTTATACTGCATATAAATTTAAGTCTGAACAAAGGTGGATTGAGGCAGGAATCACATCATCCAGGAATCACACCACCAGGAAGACCAGCCAGTAAGATAAACACTAAATAGTTGAACACACTAAATGGAACTAAAATCCTGGAAATGTACTACCTAAAGCTGTGCACCATAGCCTTGCACAGGAAAACAGAATTGAAAACTCATTTCCATGAACACAACATTTTCCTCTTCTCCTTCTGTTCTGCTTTCCTCTCTTAKCCCCAAAAAGCCCACACAAATCTTTCTAGTCTTGTCATTTGCAATAAAAATAGCTCGTGCCATGTTTTCATGAAAAAAMCAAAACCCCACAATCCTGCAGTCACAGCTATCAGTGCAGCAGATTCTGGTGATGGATTGAACTTGCAGTGAAAGTTCTGGACTATTTCTACAGAAACCTATATGTCACTCATAATGATTTGATGGCATATGGACTCACAGCAACATTTTCAGATTCTCTTCAAAACATTACGCAGATCATTTAAAATGCTCTTTGGCAAGGGAGTAGAGGGGCTAATACCAGTCACTTCTGAGCTCAGGTTCAGACAGCTCTGCCCAAGAGTTAGTTCCCCAGKACACCGATACTCCTTGGGCATCAGGTTTGGAACATCTCTGATTGGACAAGGCCAAGCAAACATACAGAAGTCAGAAATCTCAAATGCTGAATTTTTAATTATTTCAGTTCTACTGAAATACTACTTCAAACTACTCCAGAAGAAAAGKCATAATGTAAAAGGATTCCACTCTGGGAAGATCTTCCCTCCATGCAGCCTTTACCATTATACAGCAAAACAATTTACTTCAGAGAAGCAGCAACATAAAACAAGCTGAATTAAGGTTGAGTACAACTGGACTCTTAACAGAATTCTCCCCAAAAGTAATCAGGTTTTCCTACGCCACSTCCTAGCTTACACATACACACACCATACTTAAAATACTACATGGTAAATTTAAAAAGTAAAAGAGGAGTCTAATGATGAGAAGAAACACAGCAAGTTTGGTTGGTTTTGTTTTCAGTTCTAGTTTCTGCAAAAATGGGGCTGTTCCTCTACGAATTACATTATAGTTCAGAAACTTGTTACACAACTGAAACTTGTTACACAAACTGTTACACAACTGAAACTTGTTACAATAACTGTCATGTTTCCCCTCTCTTTTCTGTATTTTGTTTTATACCAAAAAGACATTGTTCAAGTTTCACAACTCTTAATCATGCTGGGAAAGAAGCTGGTGACTGCACAAAAGCGAGGGGAGACGAGAGCCCTCTGCCTGGGACTGGGAATGGTTGCATGCTCCATGATGATGTACTTTTTTATTGGGATCACCATTGTGCCATTCTACACTAAGAGGTAATAAAAGCCAAATGTTTATGAAACAGAGCTATTTTTTCCCCCATTAGCATCAAATACAATAAAGAAAACAGTGTAAAATATATGTAAGTACATTGTACAATAAACAAAGTGCTCTCAAAGAGCTCATAAGTATTTAAGACAGAAGAGAAAAAATGTGATCACAAAAATGAGGAAATGACCCTCCTCATAGTGATGCAAAACAGAACACTTAATCAAAAACACAAAATCAAAACATTTACTGTAAAATCAAAAAGCCAACCATGCTTATCAAACCTTGGCAATGAAAAGCCAGTTCTTGCATAAATAAAAAACGTTCAAAAGAGCTTTTCCATGTGCAGGAAAGTGTGGTGTTTAACAAAATATGAGCAACAGAAGTCATGGTAAAATTGTTTGTTCAAGAATCTGTATCTTATTTCCATTGTAAGAAATCATCACTTTCAATAACCCAGTGTGCCACAGCAAATATTGCAGAACATAAAGAATACTGAAAGTCACTAATACCCACACTTTTATTTCATTTTGCAAGTTCTGCCTACACACACAAAATCAATTTGCAAAAAATCAAAGCAACAAAATGAAGAGTGCAGCTCACTTGTTCCTATTTCAAGATTATGACAGAGAAAGTGAGGACATCCACCTCATTCTTCTTGCTAGAGCATCCTTAATCTCAAAACTATTTGGAAACCATTTGTTTTAAAACACAGTAAATATTTAATTTATTTTCCTGCTTCCAGATTACATTACAGAAGACAGATGCATGTAACAAGATCTGTTTCATAAGAACAGGAGTGAGACCGTTTTTGATTTTTTTTGCCACTAAGTGTATTACTGTGAGCAGTTTACTGTGTTATCACTAATAGTAAAGTAACTCATGAGCAACAGGAATAAGCAACAGCAAAAATTAACTTTTTCCAGACAAAATCCTGCTACTTATTTATGCAAGAGACCCATGCAATAAAGAAAAAGAGAAGGGGGGAAAAACAGGGGTACTGATTTGAGTTCTCAGGCTTATTGAATGAAATCAGTCAAAATATGTCTGAGACATCAAGTGTACTACATTCCACATATTTACAACCAAACTTTAAAATCCATAGCAATTTTTCTTTCTTGAATAACACAAAACCAGTTACAGATGGGAAGGTCAGAATCTAACTAAAACCACAGAATGCATAAAAATCAACAGCAACAACAATAAAAATGCTTTCCTGAACTTACTTTCTATGGCAGCCCTTCTCCAGGTGCACCCACAGATTCAGGGTGGGCACAGCTCGTCACAGCAGGATGGAGAAGCTATGAACTCCAGCCAAGCCACCACACGTATTTTCACATGCAACTTGCAACAGATGTTTCTGTTGAGCTTCAAAGAAATATCTTTTGTTTTGTTTTTGCAGTGTTTGGACAACAGAAACTGTGTGCAAGGTACTCAAAACCAACATCAAGGACAAAGTTTTCTGCCCAAACAGCGAAGGCTCAGAGGATGGCGAAATCTTTCCTTATCCTTGTCTACAGGTGTGGGTTAATCTGACAGCCTCTGGACAGGAGGTTATGCTGTACCAGACTGAAGATACATTGGAAAAAAATCCTAAGGTACTCACAAYAACAATGAGATTGCATACTCCTTCTCTGCTACTAACACCTTTGATGAGAATGGCTGATGGTTTTTAAAACAAGTAGCATAGAAACASCAGGAGTTGCTTATGTTAACATCTGGGCTTAGACCAAGGCACTATTAACACATTCAAGAAATTACAGTTTTGGACTTTATTTTWAACATTACATTACATATTAAGTTAATACTTTTTAGGGAATTACACCAACATGAATATATAACACTTAAGAACATTTTAAAATACTTAAGTCCTCGAGTTGAAGACCCATGGTAAAAGTGGTTTTATAAGCTGTGGCTTACTCAGTTCCTTGTTGAATTATCACACAAGAGACATCAAGTTTWAAACCATCCAAACTAAGAGCACAAATACCAAATTTACTTACATTTTAGGTGTGTAATACGAAGCAGAGAATAAAGGAGGAGAAAATGGCAACATGATGAACATTTTAGACAGAAAGGAGAAACCAATCATGGATGATTATCACACAGGAAACTCATTTGTCTTTGTTTTGGTCTGCAGCAGTTTCCTGGACTCATGGAGAGGGCAGTGGCACTGTTGGAAGCACTTGCATAAGGCAGAGATGCTGAGTATTGTGGTAGAAGTCCTTTGGTTAGTTATTTCAGGGATCTCCTTTCCAGAGGATGGGTGTGCCCATAAATGGAACAGAAATGTGGGTGCACAATATTCATTTGGCTTTAGAGGGATGTGAAAGACTGGGGAAGGGGAAAACAAAAGGTCTTATCCTTTTATTCTCACCAATGCTTCTGCTTGGGAATCAGTATTTCCAGGCTTGCTCCTGCAAAGTACTCCTTCAGGTACCCTGTCCCAAGAAAAGTAAGTCAGTTTCAGTCCAGTTCCAAACCCACAAGTATTTCAAAGACATTATTCCAGCTCAGCAACTCTTTTATGTGAAAATTCAGATCTYGGATGCCCAAGACTGAAGTACTTTCAGAATCCAGGACAAATATACTCAGATTACAAGTGCGAAGAATTTATATAGATTAGAGTTTCACACAGTACAAACCTAATAGCATAAAACATTTCAGCTGAAGAGAATTTTTCTAGCTAATGCCTATCTTTATAGTGACTGTCTCAGGGAAAGCTACGTGCAATGAAGGAGCAAAGCAGAAACTACCGACCATTAGATGGAAATAAGAGTCTTGTTCACTGCAAGGGGAGGCAATTTGTTGATGTCCTACCTACTTGCATTACTGCAAGTAAAATTTTCAGATCAGGAACCATCCATGCTTTTGCCTTGGCCACTTTCCAGTTTAGTACATCCAAGCATTATTATATATACAAAATAACACTGCAGAAAGAAAAGGTTATGAACAACAACAAAATAATATATTACTGCTCCAAAGTCTATTTCCATGGAAGACTAAATAACTCGCATTATTGCTACAAGTCAAAATAGTTCTGTTTTACAAGGACAAGCAGGAAGCCTCCAACAGCCAGGCTGGCTGCATTTTTCTATTAGTTACAATCAGAATCACACAGTGAAACAACTTCATTCTACTGCACACTGACAAGCCAGTGTGCATTTCTGCACAGCTAACACTTTCCTGCTTTGGCAGTGCCTAGAAGCTCTGTTAGAAATTGGAGCTTGGCACTGTAATAATGAATTGACAGTCTCAGACTGCAGGTTTTTTCTGAGCATTTATGTTATTGGTTTCCAACAACATAATTCCAATCTGGAAATCTGCAGACTGGAAGCATAGACATACTGATGGAAACAAGGAAGCATGGCATGGCAAATGGACATAATGAAACCAAGACAATCTCCCAGGATGCCAAATAACAGAAGATTTTGTCAGTAGTAGCATGATTTTTTCAYTCAATCTAACTTAACTACAGATTTTGTATTAGAGTACTTGTTATAATGGATCACCTCAATTTCTTATTTCAGTGCTCATATGTTCCAGACAAGTTGGAGAACTCTCAAGAAGTTAAAGCACGAATAGATACAATTGCAAGCAATTTCAAAAAGTACCAGATTTTCCCGTGTTACTATGACCCAGGAGGAACACAGACCAATGTCATTTTAAGCAGACTTTATCCCTCAAAAGGCCTCTTCTTTGCTTTCCTCTGGCCTACACTAATGTTCACTGGTGGATGTCTGATTATTGTTCTGGTAAAAATTAGTCAGTATGTTTCTGTTCTTTCTGCTTGGCAGTAAAAAATAAATATCMAGCACAGACGATTGCGATTGTTGCAAGGTATTAAGATGTGTTTGTTCTGCCTGTCTTACTGGCATTTTCTGACYCTTAAATATACCAGGTGTCAATTCAAGGGCAGGCATTCAAAAAAACTGAATAGCAGCCACTATGGATGGCAATCCATTACACAAGGACAAAACATAAAATTTATTCCCAGGAATGCCTGAAAGTACCTCATAAGCACACAGACTAAGWTACTATCTATTGTTTCCTTGGACTTTAGGAGATACAGCTGCTTTACAAAACTACAATCCACATTTACTACTAACTCTTCCACATTTTTGAAGTGGTGCTAATTTTCTGTCTGGTTGAGATCAGTTGGTGCCAGATCCATTTACATCATCACTGGCACCSTTTATACCCTTATACACCAGTAGTGTGTACTCATGGCATACTCTTCTTGTCTGTTGAGAAAAGCAACTTTGTTATGGTGCAAAAAGATATTTTTGTATCATGGATCTCCCTGCTTTTGGGAAAGGGGAGGGAGAAAGACCCTCAAAACAAAAATACACGTACACAGACTTCACAAAATTTGCATTCTAATAATCTGAMACCAACCGTATATGAAGAAATACATGCGTAAAGTACAGGGTATGACAAAGAAGCTCATACTAAAAGTATGTTTTTCTATTTAACTCAAATCTTAACCTTGTCTTATTTGAGAACAAGTGTGCCACTCAAGGAAGGCTACCTGGCTGCCATTTGCATAGATTATAAAACTCATGCAAAAAGGAAATTATGATATGAAGAATGTTATTATGAAATAGCATCCTGGTCCTCAACAGGACATGGTTAATTTCTGCAGTAGCCAAATGGGGCATGATCAGGACCCAGAGATTATTCTGTAGCACCTCTCATTTTCTGGGAGAGGGGGAAGTGCTCCCTGCCAGCTCCGGTAGCATGGCAGCAGGAATGGTCAGGTATGGTTGGGGGCGAGAACTGTTTCCAGTAAATTGTCCTATCTCAACTCATGATCTTTGCCTTTTGTGCCCCCAGTTTTCCTCTCCAGACCATCAAAGTGGGGAAAAGGAGAGGGGAGCAGGCAAGCAACACCATGGTTTGGAGTGTTTCAGTAGGAACATTAAATTGAGGAATACCATTCTTAAACCACAACAAGTAGAATATAATTGTGATCTCTTACTAAATACAGCAAGCCAAAGTAGCCACAGAAGTTTACACGCCTAGCACCAAAATATTTCACAAAAGAGATAAGTTTGTTTCCAGAGTGAAGACTTCTAGGAAGCTCTGATGCATGTAGAGAGACATTCTCTGTTCTCTGAAAATAACTTTCAGCCAAATTTCAGACTGCAACTGGACACAAGCAGAACATGAGATATTTCCTGTGTACTGTTTTTGACTAGTATCTGGGACACAACTGGTACAAGCTTTTTCACCACACAGTTGATGAACCACCAGGAACTATCATTCACAGGAAAGTTTCGGGGCCAAGATACAAATTTTAATTAATCACATTACAGTTTAACTCTTCTCATTAATGTGGTACAATTCTGTATTGTTTACTGTAAGAAATGCTTAAATATTAACCCAATACATACATTCTCCAACATTACTAATAGAACAGTGTCAGAGCTCGCTTTTCACTATGATCAGCAAATGAAAGGAAGTGGCTGCTAAAATTAAAAATCCAAACTAACCTAAAAAAATTAATATAGAAGAACTATGTTCACARGGAGGAAAGTATATCCTCACACAACACTTTTGTGAAATGCATCTGAAGTTGTGTGTATATACAACTCAAACCTCTCTCATTCCAGGAAAGTGAAAGCTCAGCTGGCACAGGTACTGATGGTTTGAGCAACCAAATGGGATAGGTAAGGGAGAAGATCCTGTTTTGTTAGTTCATAAAAAGCTGAAGCTTTTTGAAGCAGGAGGGTGGTAACAGCTTTAGAAAGTGAGCAAACATACAGGATACTTGTTGAAGCTAATGCACTGTACTGGTATCAGAGAAGGTGAACAAGCTAGCTGTGAATAGGCTCTTTGAAAACTTCACTCCAAATTTCATTTTTAAGCAGCTTTTAAAGGAGTCTCCAGATTGCAAAGTAGAACTTACTCATGACTACTTTATGCTCAGTCCAGAAAATTCATAACTCCATCACTTTGCTACCTTCCCAGCTCAGTAGAGACCAATGAAGGTTGGATGTCGCTGGTAGACCCTGTGGCCTCACTCACTCACCAGTCAGTGACTTGTGTTTGAGGAGCAGAAATTCATGGTCTAGCTGAGCTCAGAACTCAGCMCAAAACATAAAGACCAGGAGTAATCGCTCTCAACTCTGCCCTTTCGATTCCCAAGAAAACCCCCTAAAGACACATCCTCCTCACCTCCCTAATCACAGTTATCCTTGACAGTAGCTGATGAAAATTTATTCAGAGTGCAAGCTGTGTTTCTAGACTTACTTCCTCCAAAAATAAAGCTAATCAATTKTTATATGAAAATGGTTCTTTCTCTCCACTTCATACATATTACAAATACCTGAAGAAAAACCTTATACAAATTCTTTCCTCCAGCAAAGTAAAATTTTCTAACTGGGCAAGAAATATTCCAAGAAAAAACAGCTGTGCAGAGGGAAAATCACACACCAACTGGGAAACCCCATTTTTCTGTATTCTTGCCAAGCACAACTTCCTCTTTTGCCTGAAAGAAATAGGATGTAAATGTGAAAAGCCAAATACTCTATTTCATTAAACAAAATGTACAGACACCACAGAAATCTGTTCTTGCTTTTAAATAATGTTTTGCTCATATGTACAGTGCTGGTTATTTTCTGCATTTCTGACAGTTTAATGTTGAAGTCGGACATATTTTTTCCTTCACACTATCATTTTCTCTTAATGTCAAAAATATATTTTTACAGTGTACAAGGTTGATTACTCTTTTAAGCTTCTGTAAAAAATTTTCTTTTTTCATCTGCAAAAGTTGTAATTCACTAGACTTAAGTTTTAATAACACACTTCTTACATTAATGCTTACATTTAAAAATGCTTCTTACAGCAGTACACAAGAATCAATATGGCCTTTAGAGGTTTCTGTTTGGTTAGGAATTTTTTAACATTTTTGGATTGTACCATCAAGTCTACAATAAATCTGTTTTAAAATGCTATTTTTCTGAGAACCAGCAAAACACTTCCTATGAGAAGTGCTTCTATACAAGCAGTGACCACTGCAGTTACACAACTCACTTTCTCAAGGCAGAGTAAATGATCAAGGTATATATTAAGCATTAAAACTCCTGCCAGCAGAAAGAAAGCAGCAGCACAAGCAGCTGGAGATGAAATTAATCTTTGAAATCTGTTTGACTAGCACTGATGCTTAAACCAGARGAATAGTTCTTGACTTGACTGGAAGCGGTAAGGAACACAGGAAGAATGGGGATAGATTTTTAGACCCTGATGAATACGTTAGTTGTACAGACCCTTTACATATCTGTATTAATAGTAGTGTTTTCCTAGTTAACAAACTATTAAAAAAGACTCTATTTTTCAAGTGCTGCGCACTCTCAGGAGTAGCTTTTCTTCTTGATGCCAAATAAGATTTGGACATGGTGGCTGTGTTGGAAGATGAAAAAGGACAAAAGTTATAGCAGTATTACTGAGGAAACTCAGTAATTCCTCTTAGGCCAAAAAAAAACCCCAAACTGCACCACCAAGAAAACCATTGCAAAAGTTCGTAAAGAGAAGCTATTTTTCTGGATGAGCAAGATTCAGATTTCATCAGCTTGCAATAAGAAAATGTTTCTCCAACTTTGATAAGGTAGCAACAATGGGAGCTGAAGAGGAATCTATACTGACTTACTGAGAAGCCACCTGTGAGTAACCAGCATGCCCTTACTGCACCTAAATATAGCAGGTATCTTCTAACTAACTCTGACAATTTTGAGCTCAGTATCCTGCTAACTTATGCTATTTTATTACCTGGTCCTCAAAGCACCAACAGTGTAATCATCATCAAGAAGATTCTGATGCTTAAAGATTCTTCACTCATTGCATAAACCCACAGTGCTTGCCAAAAAAATGCCCTCCAATTGAGTAACTGGCACTTCATGCTTATTCTTTGGTTTAGGGGATTTGAAGGGGACAAGGGGAGGGTTTGGTTGGTTTGAAGCCTGATTCCRGGCTAACCTAAAACAGCGGCTAGACAAAATTAAGAGAATAAGAAGCAGTTGTATTTATTGAAGGGCCTTCRGGTATATTCAGGGCACCCACCCAGGGGCTATAACCAAAATGGAGTATCAGTCATGGGTCTTTTGAACTTTATAAGTTTTGTCCATTTGCATAGTGGGTGTGAATCCTCCAATTACAACTTCAGGTAATGAAGTCATTTACTCCAAGTTCACTCCCCCCAATTCACTGTTGTTTATGTATCTTGGGGCCTGAGACAGTAAAGTGTCCTTGAGTTTCAGGCCTAGAGAGGAATTGTTTTGTCTAAAAAAATGGGAGAACAGTTAACTTAGTACTGTATATGCAGTCTAGAGTTATACACTAAAGAATTACAGGATTACAGATACATGAAAATATAGAAGCAACAATCCTAAGGGATCAGRTTCATTAGTWTGATTTTGKTTTTTTTAATTTACTYGGRTTTTTTGTCTTTTAATAAGGAAATTACGAAAAACTTAACCAATTTAGGGTCYCCATAGACTATTCAATATTCAGAAGCCACAAAATAATACAGATATGTTATTTTTGGCAATTTCAATAATAGGAAATAGTATTTAGGTTTAACTGCGTAACCTAAAATTTACAAGTTGCTTGAAGTTACAAAAATACTCTAACACAGGAAAATAATGATAAAGATTGATTGGAGCCAGTTATTTTTTGTGAGACAGTTGGGGTTGTTCAGCCAGGAGAAGAGGAGACCTTAGAGGGGAGAACTTAGAGCTCCTTTCAGCACCTAAAGAGGCTCCCAGAAACCTGGAGAGGGCAGGGCTGGACATGGACCTGAAGAGACAGGACAAGAAGGAATGGCTTTCCACTGCCAGGGGGCAGAGTTAGATGGTATTTTGGGAAGAAATTCTTCCCTGTAACAGTGGTGAGGCCCTGGCAAAGGGTGCCTAGAGAAGCTGTGGCTGCCCCATCCCTGGAAGTTTCCATGGCCAGGTTGGACACAGCTTGGAGCAACTTGGTCTAATGGAACATGTCCCTGCCCAAGGCAGGGGGGGCATGGCATGAGATGATCTTGAACTTCCAAACTACTTAGTGATTCTACTTCTTAGCTCTTCTAGTTCCAGGCAGATTTTCAGAAAGTCTCATCACGCTAAATAGGTTAATCTGCAAATAAGGATTCTTGCAGTATATTTCAGGGCAGGTTAGCTGGCCTGAGAACAAGACAACATTGCCCAAATAACTGTTACATTCGTGGCAGTTTCTACTCTGTAAAGCTGTAACAGTACCACATCAGGAGCCTTTTCCAGAATACACTGCCAGTATCAATCAAGTAAATGTTAAGCACAAGTTTAGGAACTGATTTACTATACAAGGTTGCTTTATTCYTCAAAAAATGGCCACCCTATGGTCACCCCTGCATTTTCAGAATTAATACAGTTCTTTCAATAATATCCTGTTGTCTGTGATTTATGCACAGGTCTTCCAAGTTTTGGTCTTAGGGTATCAGAGTGTATTAGAAGACTGGGTCTGTCACTGAAGGTGAAAAAAAGCSAAGTGAAATTTTGGCTCAGATGTGAGCTGCTTATGTAGGCTGCTCACTGCTGTGGCTCAGCCTGCAGCATTGTGAGCGCCAGCTCAGGAAAAGCCATCCCTTTTACAACACAGTGAGAAGAAATAATGATGTCAACTGTGCTGTTACTGCTGATTTCAGCAGAAGCCTTAAGTATTTAACTGACTCATTACTGACCCCTTAACTCAGTAGCAGCTTCAGGCCARGGCTCCGGAGTGACACCTCATTTTGAGCATAGGTCAAGGAGGAATTGAATGCAGATGACCAAATCCCAGTCTTTGGCACATCCACCTCCAAGAAGGAGGAGTTTATCACGTGATAAACTTGTTTCAGAAAACCACAAAACTATTTGATCTTTTTCACAGGTAAAGCATAGATAAAAGTTGCTTTTCCAGGGTATTTAATTTTGCACTAGTATATTTAAATATATAACATATATTATTAAAAATAGAGAAATATTGCAAATAGAAGGAAATTATACTAAACTGGTGAGGCAAAGTTGAGAACAGGATTTAAGGCAATGGAATCCATGAAAGGTGTAGACAATATCACACTGTTAGTCTCATGAGGCTTAATATAAGAGGATAAAAAACAGACGCTTCACCAGTAGATATTAATACAAATTAATGTAAAGAGTGTTAGCAACATACTTGMGTCACAGACTGGCATTGAAAAAGTCAAAACACTACAAATGTTTCAAAATTATAACTATCACGGTTGCTTAAAGATRTTAGAAAATCCTAAATAGTTCAGAGAGTAGTGAAGAATAGCTAAAAAGCATTTTATGTCAGAAATCATACAACATCTGCATGACAAAACTGTTTCATTGGTGAGTTTTTTTTTTCCCAAACACTCTCTCACAACACTGTGCCCAAGAGCCAGCTGCTTTCCAAAGCATCAAAGTATTTTGCCTGGACTGAAAAGCACATGAACCCTAGAGAAGTCCTGGAAATCTTCAAGAGAAATACAAGAACCACAAAGGCCATGTAACACCCCCACCTATATATTCCAATCTCATAAATGGGCTCCTGAATGAATGAAAAAAGTATGCATAAACCTGTCAAAAACAAGAGTGTGAAATGCAAATAAGAGCTAAAACAGCCTTTAAAAAGACAATAAACCCCACAAACTAACTGAAAAAATAAACCCAAATTGCTGCTCTTGGTRTTTGTAGGTGATCAGTTTGGGAATGGACAATTTAGGAGTGTTTAAAGCAAGTTGTGTTTTTATGGTGACCGTTGTTTCCTTTTGCTTTTTCAAGGAAAAGAAAAAGGGAACTTTTCAGGCAAGGTCATAAAGTAAGTATCTTTTGTCACATAACAGATATCTGAATAGACCATAGAGCCATCCTATGATTCTATTTCCAGTCACAGGCTGTGAAATAATTTGGCAGGCCACCAGGATGGCAGGCACAGACACAGCCTGCCTCTTGACCAAGACACAGCTGGTGGCAGGCTACAGACTGAGTATGCTACACCAGAAGAGGACTCCAGATACAGCTCGCACTACAGAAACATGTGTTTGTCAGCATGGGACACCTAATAASTGAAGCTCTCATGTCCCCAGCCACTTAAAAAGAAAAAAAAAAAAATGAATAAATGAGGAGCTCCTGTAGCCTCACATCTTCTTTAAAAAGTTCAATGAATGGAACAATACAGGAAGTTTGAWGCCCAAGTGGTTCTTCACTGGAAAGTAGGATTTTTTTAACAGTTATGAATAAAAACATGCAGTAGCTCTTTTGGAACAAGAATAATAACATGCGTGTTCCAACATTTTATATTCTGAAAGTTAACACTCTTTATGTACATGGTTGCACAGAATTTATCTACATGGAAAAGCAACAAATCACCCATTTAGTCAAATTTAAAGTCTGTCCAATGGTGTTGAGAGCAAGAACTTTATACAGCTATAAATTATTAAGACTTTACAGAGGGGTAGTGTAAAAGAAGAATGAAATTTAAAGACTCAGTAGCAACATTTCATGATCTCAAATCACAGCACTCTACAGCAATATACTTAAGCCTATTAAGATTAGAAAAATCTTTCTGATTATGGAAATTAATTAAAAAGAAGAACCAACAACTAACATGTAATTCTGTTTTTCCCTATCTTTTCAATTCAACCCAATTCCATGTCAATACCAGACACTAACATCTGATTGCAGTAGTCAGAAATATGAGATCAGAAATTAGAAATTTATCTGATCGTGAAAAATGAAGGTACAAATTCTAAAAATGAACATAGGCTTTATCCAGCATTCATGAGCACAGTGACTAAAAGACAGAAAATTAATTCCATGAGAGSATTCCCATGTGTCTCACCGTAGTTGAGAGAAACAATTCTGTGCAGAAAAACAGCAGCATTTATCAGTCTACGTCTGCTTTGTGTCTTCTAGCAGCTGGAGACACAAACCAGACTGGTGCTCATCAAGGCAGTTAAAGCAGCACAAGGGTGCTTCCCAAGTCCTACACAGTGGAACTATATCATAACATTTTCAAGAAGTAAGTCTACAACAGAGCAACAGCTCAGAACAAGAAGAATAGATTTATTTTGATGSAAGCAACACAGTTCAGGGGGGAAAAAAATACAATACTACAAAACAAAAAAAAACAAACCATAATACAGAACCAGAAAACAAAACCAAACAAAACATTCCCACCAATCCAAGCAAACAAAAGAATCCCAACAAACACAAAACCACCACAAACAACAACCATAAAACCACAAGATACCT